TCCTCCTCCCTCTCCTCCTTCTCTCCTTCCGCCGCCTCCCCCTCCTCCTCCTTCTCCTCCTCCTCCTCCTCCTCCTCCTCCTTCTCGCCCCTCATTTTTCCCCGTGCATTCAGTCGTTCAGGCATTCAGTCCGATCTGTCCTTCAATCACTCAGCCCCCACTGTCCCCCTTGCTCTTGCCCCCACCCCCTCTCGTCCTCCCTCTTCCACTCCCCCCTCCCCTGCCGCTCCCCCCTCCAGCCGCCCATGCCCATGCCCTCCGTCCCTCCATCTCTCCATCCCTGAAGAGGCCCTGGAACACACAAATAAATACACACACATAAAAACATTCCCCATATTTTCCTATATTTTCTGAGTTTTTGTCTTCCCCCCCACTTCCCATATTTTCCCATATGTTCTGGAAAACCGACGATTCATTGTGTCTGTGTGTTTCTTTCCCTCCTGAATCCCTTCTCCTCTCAATTCCATCTCCTCTCCTTGCACCTCCCCTTCCCCCCCCCCGCACCTGCTCCCCCTCCTGTCGGTCAGCGCAGGGGGCGGCGGTCATGTCTCGCCGCAGTTTGGCGATCGCGCTGTGCGGCGCGTCGCTTCTCGCAATCTGGTTCGTGGCCTCCGTAGGCGTGTAACGGAGAAGTGAGGAACGACTGGGTAGTCGAAGCCAATCTGGCGCCAATCTGGCAGGCCCAATCTGGCAAACGGGGGCAATCTGGCGAGGGAGCCAGCGCGAATCCGGTCTGGCGAATCACCCAAATCGTCCAGCTTGGACAGGCCAGATTGGCCCTTGGGGCCCAATCCAATCTGACAGTCTGGCCTTCGACTACCCAGAACGAACAGCTCGAGCCAGGGGGAGTTATGGGGGGGAGGGAGCGCGAGGGTTGCGCATTGCGGACAAGAGAGCGGGCGAGGCGAGGAGGACAGAGGTGGGAGAGAAAAACGTAGGGGGAGGACTGGCGAGAGGGGGGAAGAGGAGGGAAGACGGCGCAGGGTGAGGGCGAGTGAGACCGCGAGGGGCCGGTGGAGTGGAGGAGAGGGGGGGGGGGGAAGGAATGGGAGGGAGGCGCAGCTGCAGCATGACTGTGAGCCTGGGCTCGAGCGTTGAGGCGAGACCGTCAGCGTTCGGGGAGCCACGACGCGGGAGGCGAGCGGGGGCCTCCTTCAGCTTGCAGCTGTCCGACGCAATCTGGGAGTCGTTCTGGCGGGCGCCCTCTCCTCTGTCCCCACCCCCGGTCGTCCTGCCCCCCCCACCCATCCCCTCGGCCTCCCCGTCCACCCCACGTGCTCCTCCATCCCCGCGCCGTCCCACGCCACCCTCCCCCGCTGCATCCCCCCATCCCACCCCACCACGCGCCCTCGCCCCATCCCCCCTCTCACTCTCTTCTCCCGCTCCCTCCCCGCTCCTACCCCCCTCACACCCCCGCTGCCCTCCTCCTTGAAGGGCACACCGACAAGCCTGCTTGGATCTGACGGACGCTCCATCCCACCCCTGGCCTTCGCGTTCTCCAGAACACCCTCCTGATTCTCCAGCGTCGACTCTTCAACGTTTTGTCGATTCGTCGGCCTCCTCCCTCTCCTCCTCCTCCTCCTCCTCCTCCTCATCCCCCTCCTCCTCCTCCTCCTCCTCCTCCTCTTCCTCCTCCTCCTCTTCCTCACGTGGCCTCCAAGACGGCCCCAAGACGGCCCCAAGACGGCCCAAGGGGCCTCCAACACGCCCCAGATGGCCTCCAAGACGCCCAAGATGGCACAATCATACAAAGTCATAAAAATGTTGCTTCGAACGTGGATTGCTTTCGGGGGCCGTCTTCGGGCGTCCTACGGGTGCCTGGGGCCGCTCGGGGCTCTCGCGGGGCCGTGTGGCCGCCATCTCGACTGATTTGGGCCCCTTGGCCAGGTCCAGCAGGAGCAACCAAGAAGCCCGCAAAGCCCAAACGACCGTCTGCAGGGGCGTTCCAGGAGCCCATTGGACCAAGGATGCGGGAAGTCCCGTCTGGGGGGAGGCCCACAACCCCCCACCCCGCTCTCCCCAGGATTGCAATCAGATCCCAGCAGGAGCATGTTATCGGAACGTCTTCCTGGGTAGTCGAAGCCAATCTGGCGCCAATATGGCAGGCCCAATCTGGCAAACGGAGGCAATCTGGCAAGGGATCCAACGCGAATCCAGTCTGGCGACTCACCCAAATCGTCCAGCTTGGCCAGGCCAGATTGGCCCTTGAGGCCCAATCCAATCTGACAGTCTGGCCTTCGACTACCCAGCCCAGGGTTGCAATCAGATCCCAGCAGGAGCATGTGATCGGAACGTCTTCGGCATGGTCTTTCCCTGCGTTTTTCCCCTCGAATCGTGCGTGGTTCTGGACGCCCGAAATGGGCACGGAAAGAATGGGTACAATGCCCAACAACAAGTGTTGTCCCAAACCAACAGCGGCCGCTGTTGGGCAGGCGGCCTTCATTTCGGGCGTGCAGAGTGGTCGTGTGCCTTCGGCCGTCACGCAGGGCGCTCCCGCCTCGGCGCCTGCTGCACTCCTGCCCCTCACTCTGCCCGGTGCTGGGATCGCCTCTCCCGCGGGGCACAGCCAAGACGTCGTCGTCGTCGTCGTCGTCGTCGTCGTCGTCGTCGTCGTCGTCGTCGTAGTCGTAGTCTGCGTCGGCGTCGGCGTCGGCATCGGCATCGGCATCGGCGGCGTCGGCGTCGGCGTCGGCGTCGGCGTCGTCGTCAACCTGTCGTTACCGTCGTCGTCATCGTCGTCCTCCCCCTCCTTCTCGTCCTCCTTGTCTTCCCCCCTATTTTCCTTTACCTCTTCCCCCCAGGCCTCTCTATCCCCCTACATCCCGCTCCTCCATCCATTCGCCTGGCCCCTGACCCCATCGCGCTGCAAATACCATTCAAAATTTCACTCGACACCTGGATTGACGAATCAGCAAATTATTGATCACCATCCACAGGATGGGAAGGAGGGGCAGGATGCCAAATGTGTCGTTCGCACGCATATGTTGCCCATGTACGCTCTCCCCTCTTCTCTCTCTCTCTCTCTCTCTCTCTTTCTCTTTTTCTCTCCCTTGTTCCCATATCCCCCCTACTCTAGTCTTCCCTCTCGCTCTCCCTTCCCTCTTTCTCTCCCTTGTTCCCAGATCCCCCCTACGCTAGTCTTCCCTCTCGCTCTCCCTTCGCTCTGCCTCTCTGCCCTGACAAAATCCCCGGTTTACTCTCTCATCCCGCGCAGTGATTCCACACACACACATGATGTCGAAAGTGTGCTTATCATTCATGCTTTTGTCCATTAACACGTTTCCCGTCCATGAGAACGGCACTCCGGCTGCAGCGTTGGCAATCTTTCTGGATGGTTGTTTTGCTTCCGTCGTTCGAAATGGCGCTCTCGCCACAGCAAAGGCCACATCGCGGATCGGATTCCTGCCTGATCGTTGTCGTCCCCATCCTCTCCCTCCTCCGCTTTCCCCTGATCATCATGCTCCTCCTACTCATCCTCCCCCTCATTCCCCCTCATCCTCCACCACCTCATCCCTCCTCCTCAACATCCACTTCCTCGTACTCCTCCAAGCGCAAAAGAGCCCACCTCTCCGGTTGCACGGCAAACGATGAGTCAAATCGTGCAACTGCATTTGGGAATCAAAGTCCTCCAGGACACATCAGCCAGCGGATAGAAGTGGATGCTGCGCAATGGAAGGGACGGGAGGGAGGGGCAGGATTTCGAACGTGGCGGGAGCGCATCCAGCTTCTCTTCTGCCATCTCTCTTTCTTTATTTCTCTCTCTCTCTCTCTCTCTCTCTCTCTCTCTGTCCTCTACCCTTGTCCCTATCTCCCTCCTGCCCTCTTCTCTCTTCCCTCCCTCCCTCCCTCCCACTTCCATCTCTCCCTCCCTCTTCCTCCCTCTTCCTCCCTCCCTCCCTACAGTTACATGCTGCTGAAGACTACTGTCCTTCTCTGTCCCCCGACGACGTCCTGGAAGTGTCCCGCCCTCTCCGTGTATTGTTTCTCACACGCAAGATTTCAACAGGCGGTCGTTCATAGGTCTGTTTCCCATCGGAACGTTCTCGGTGCTTCAAAACGGCGCTGCAGCTGCATCGCTGGCCGTATTTCGAGTTCGGCGCTTTACTCTCATCGTTCAGCATGGCGCTCTCGCCCCAGCGCGGGCCACATTTCTGGATCTGAGTGCTCCCTCGTCGTTGTCACCTTCCTATCCCCTACCACGCCATCCCATGGTCCTCCTGCTCCTCGCGTTCCTCCTGCTCATGCTGCCGCCATTCCTCCTCGCCATCCCCCTGTATCCTCCGCCTCCTCCGCTTCCTCCTGCTCGTCCTCCTGCTCATCTGCCACCTCCTCCGTCCAGGGCAACTGTGACACCCTTCGACGGATACAGGAGAAATCACCGCAACGCGAAGGGATGGGTGGGAGGGGGAGAATGTCACATGTGGCGCGAGCGCACCTGGCTCGCCCCTCTCCTCTCTTCCCTTCCCCTCCCCACTCTCCCCCTCTGCCCCTCGCCGCCGGCGCCGCCGAGAGAGGGCCGGCGGTCCGAGTGAGACAGCCCCGAGGAGACCCCTTCGGACAGCTGGACCATGCCTCCGTCCCCACGCCCCTCGAGGTGGCGGGCGGCCGGGAGGGAGGGGGCAGCGGGGAGGGGGTGGCGCGGAAGGGGAGAGGACGGGCGAGGCAGCAGAGACGGGAGCACGGACGAGGCGCGGAGAAGGGGGGAGAAGGGGGGAGGAGAGGGATGGGGAGGCGAGCAAGGAGCAGGGAGCAAGTAGGGGGAAGGAAGAGGTCGGAGGGAAGAGGGAGGTGCGGGGAGGGATGGGCGAGGAGCGAAGAGGGATGAGGGCGGAGCGAGGAGGGAGGGGAGGAGAGTGCAGGGTGGAGGGTGCAGAGACAGGCTCTGACAGAGAGACAGACAGACGGACGGTCAGACAGACAGATAGACAGGCCCTCGCTCGAAATCCCACAAGCCCTCTGGGCGTCGGAGGTTTAGGGCGGTTCCTCTTCCACCCCTCCTTATTCCCCTTCGGGGAGGGGGTTACCCCTCCCCTATACCCCTCCCCTGGACCTGGACAGGGGGTTCCGCGAGTCGTCGGAGCGTCCAAAACGGCCTTGGCGAGGAAGCCCAAATCATTGGTTTTACTAAGATTTTGGCCCCATTGTGGCCTCCTGAGGGGGGGGCTCGTTGTGATATGGAAGATAATCGCTGGATATATTTGACTCGCGCGGCGAGGGGCGTAGCTCTAAGGCCAGGGGCCCTAGTTCGAAATAAAAATGGCAGCGGCGAGCAAGGAATGAAACCACAGGCCCCTCGAGGCTTCTGGGGGAAACCCTCTCGGGCCTCTTACATCCCTGGGGAGTGAGCTTGATTCACACTCCTCCTAGTCGCCGTCGGCGCAGACCCTCTGTCGGGCGCCTGAGCGGGGACTATAACAAGTCACTCGCAAAAGCTTCATTACAAACGGAACAGATTATCTTGATAATCCATCGCAAGCAAACGGCTCGCACGGCATGTTAGCAGGCTGCCCTCTGGGGCGATTTGACGGGTGCTGCTTCACGCACCTGCTGAAATCCGCCGACCCTGTCGGCGTGTGGAAGACGCATCCCGGTGTCGTCGTCTTGCGTGGATCACCGTCGTCGTCGTCGTCGTCGTCGTCGTCGTCTCCGTCGTGTCCTCGTCGTCTCCGTCTCCGTTGTCCCTCGTCGTCTTCGTCGTTCCCCGTCTCCTTGAGCGCGCGAGCCAAAGCGACATTGAGCAACGTCGTAGTTGAGTCGTGGCGAAGCCCCTCCCTACCCTCCCCGCCGGGGGGGGGGGGGGGATCGCCGGGGGGGGTCGCCGGGGGGGGTCGCCGCCACCCAGATACGCATCCTCCCCGGGGGGTCCCGGAGCTCAGAAAAGCTTCAAGACGAGCCAAGAGCGACAGAAGACACCCCCAAAAGGGTACAAGAGGGCCTCGACTCGACGAACGATGGCCCCAAGACGCCCAAGACGGCCCGAAGACGGCCCAAGAGGCCCTCAAGACGCTCCAAGAGAGCCCCAAGAGCACACCCAAGAGGGCCCCAGGCGCCAAAATCGTCAATTTTACATCGGTTTTTGAATGATTTTGGCCTTCTCGCCTTTTCGGCTTTCCGACACTCCAAGACGGCCCAAGAGGCCCCCAAGAGGCCCCCAAGAGCGCCCCAAGAGGCCTACAAGAGGGCCCCAAGACGGCCCAAGAAGGCCCCAGGACAGCCTAAGAGGCGCCCAAGACGGCCCAATAGGGCCCCAAGACGGGCCCAAGAAACGGCCAAGAGGGGGACGAGGAACCGAGAATTCGAGACTTCCGCCCTAAGAGGCCCCCGGGAAGCCCCAAGAGGCCCCCAAAAGGCCCCAAGAGGCCCCCGAGCGGCGCCAAGACGCCCCCAAGATGCGCCGAAGACGGCCTCCGGAAGCCCCAAGAGGCCCAAAAGAGGCCCCAAGAGGCCCCACAACGGCCCCCAAGAGGCTTCAAGTTGCCTTCCAGACGCCCCCGAGAGGTCAACCACGAGATCCCAACCAACATCCATAAGGCCTCCTCCTCCTCCCCCTTCACCCTTCCTCCTCCTACTCCCTTCCGCCTCCTCCTCCTCCTCCTCCTCCTGCCCCCCCCCTCGTGTTGTCTTTCGTCATCTTCAGGGTGGGCGGCAACGGCCGTAAGGCCTTCGCAATAAAAATTCTCGGCGGAACGGGCACTCGGCTAGGATCTTACTACTTAGTAATAAGATGAAACCCTTGGTAGCAGAGCAATCTCGCTGGTGATCGTCATCACCATAAAACAGAGCACACACAGAGGCTGATCAGGCCAAGCGCTATGAAACATACAGGCTGCGAAAGAAAGCAGCGTCCGGGTGGTGGCGAAAACACACTGAATGCGGACTAACGTGAGCGGCTGGCAAGCAGCGTCGGGCGGCGGCGAAAGCAAACGAAATGCGGATAACCGTAAGCGGCTGCTGGCAGCAGCGTCCAAATAGCGGCACAGCAAGCTGAATGCGGGAAACTCATTCACGTGGACTTCTGAGTCCCCTTTCTCCGGCGTCGTTCGGCTCGGCGCGTCGGATCCCATCATCTGAGCCCATCGATTCTGGAGCTCATGCTTCAGCGAGTGGTGCATGCGCGAGAAATCGGGCTGATGCACTCTGTGGTTCCGGCGAAGCCACGACGAGTGGCGCCTGCATGTCCTGCAGGTCGCGTAAACGCTGCGCGGGTTATATCCTACGCGAATGTTGTGCCCTGCCACGGCACACTCGTTGATCTCCATCGGCGAAACCGTCGGCGTGGAGTTATTCAAGGACACGATGCTTGCCGATGATGAGCTGGATATCGTCATGGGCGTGCTCGGTGACGATGATGGGGCGAAGCTGTCCTGCGGCGATGCCGGCGCGGGAGCGGTTGAAGGCCTCGGAGCCGGACCTGCGTTCTCTGTCGATGAGCTGCTCTGGGCCGCGGCAGCAGCAACGATCTCCTGGGCGTCGGGCATGAAGATGTCTCCGTCGGCGTCCTCTTCCTCTGGAATCGCGGGCTGCACGTGGTTCCGCCTCCCGAGACGTCTCCCGTCCCAGCCTGGGTGGCGATCGCCCTCGGCCTTGCCCTCCTGCGGCGGTGGCTTCAGGGTGTTCTGAGCCATCGTGTGCCTCATAAGGGCGAAGATGCTGAATCCCACCATCATTCCCACGAACATTGAGAAGCACGTCAGGTAGCACGCGTACCAGTAGTAGTTCATGTCGAATGGCTGCGGGGGCGAAGGAGTCGGCTGACCCTTGACCTTGCCGATACACGTGGCAAGCACGGAGGCGATCATGGCGGCGTTGGGCTGCCTGGTGCCGGAGTTGTGTTTCTTGGCGCCGAAGAAGGAGAGCAGCAAGCTGGTCTCCATTACCTTGGTAAGCGAGTCGGCAACCATGCTCCAGGTAGGAACCCAGGTCAAGCGCAGCTCGCTGTTGGGATGCACGGACTCCTTGATCATGGAGGCGACGATGCGGAAACGCTTGCCGGAAGACTGGCCCACGTCGGACTGGATGTGGGTAACGAGACCCTTGCTGACGCTATAAACCTCCCCAGGGCGCTTCAAGCTGAGATCGTCGATCTCCTTGAGCGGCGTCTTGGGGTTGTAGGCTTCGGTGAGCAGCTGGCGAAACCATGCGTTGATTTCGGTCCCCTCGAGGGTGGCGCAACCCTCCGCGGCCAGCGTGGACTTCACGGACCTCTTGACGGTACCCGAATGCCAGGCAACTGGTAAGCATAGATCGTATCGGCCTCCGACTACATCGCACGGTCGGTGGGCAAGGCCCATGGCGATGCCCCACTGGCTCTTTACACCGTCGATGTTGGCGAACGCGGCGTCGCTGAAGCAAACGGTGGTGCAGGTGTTCAGGTTGATGAGATTGCGCTTCAGCACAATGGCAAAGTCGGGGGACCGTGAACGTAGTTGACCGTCCTGTTGAGCATCTTGGCGTCGGCAACGGTAGCGACGTTCGTGCGCCTGGCAGCCATGCTGACCGGGCAGGCGATGTCGACTCGCGTCTGAACAGCGAGCCAAGGTAGTTGACCCAGGGTGCGTCGATAGCTGGATACCTCCTCCATGGACAGCTTGTCGTCTGGGGCGCGGCCCTTCACGAAGGAAATCTCGACAGGGTCGACCTGCTTGCAGCCGTGGCCTGCGTGACGCGAAACTTTTCGTCAGACTTTGAGATCGTACGTCCGCAATATTTGATAATGCCTTCAACCTTCTTGAGATGGAGCTTCCTCCCAAGGCTATCAATGATGCGCTTCCACTCTGTTGAGTCCTTGAGCTGAGCAATCAAGAAGTCGTCCACATGGGAATGTACGACGGCGGCCAGGCCCTTGGAGTCGTAGAAATAGTAGAGACCCTTCTCGAGCTTGCTCTCGATTAAACCGTGGTCCTTGAACACCTTCTGGGCGTAGAGATACCACTGCCGTCCTGCGTCACGGGCGCCATAGATAGCACCGGTCGCCATAACGATTTCACCAGGCGAAGTACCCGGTGGGGGGTTCTTCGCAGGCATGCGTAGCAGTAAGAGCCTCTCGATGTTGCCAGACTGGAGGTAGGCCGTCATGGCATCATACGAGGTGAGGTCCCACCCAGATTGGGCAGCAGCAGCAAGCGCAAGGTAAAGGGCGTCTCGAGATCCTGTAGGTGCATCAGTGATGATCTGTGACTTGTCCTCCTGGCACTCTTGAACTACGAGGCGGGCCTTCATGAGGTTGAGCCCCTTGCTGGCGAGCACCCATCGCGTGCCCACCGGGCGAATGCCAGGATTTCGCCTTAAGAGCTCCTTCAACTCCTTCGGCGGCAGCTTCTTGTAGGCCCCGAACTCTGTCCACTTGGACCACTCGACCTTCATTGCCTCATCCATGAGCTTCTTCTCCTTGGTGGACGAGTTGTCGTACTTCAGCTCCTTGGCGGCCACCTTCCCAGTAAGGAAGACTTCGCGTAATGAGGGCGCAAACTGCATCTCGTCTGCGTTGGCCTTGAAGTAGTTGTCCAAGTAGTAATATGTCTGGTTGGTGTCGCGGGGCTTCTTGAAGCACTTCGGTAGGTCGTCCAGCAGCT